TAATGACTCCAGAGTTCAGCTCCAGCAAATCTTAAAATATAATTATCTAAGAACAAATTTTATAGAAATTTAAATCCTTAAATTTAAACACTCATTCTCCAGTGGGAAATTGAAACCTGAATTATTCCACAATGCTATGCTCAAGTATATATTTTAAAAAGCAAAGGATATTTATGATCATAAGTAATAAGTTTCGCTTTGAGAACCAAGAGAAGTTTGCTTAAAGAGACAGCATTAAACAATATTTAATTACAAATAATTTTAAGATAATAAGCAAACATTTGATAATATCCCTCTTTTCAAAAACAAATTTGCAAAAACAAAATCGTAATGACGATGTGTCCCTCACTATAATATACCATGGTAATTAACACCCTTATATAGAATAAAATCATCACTTTCAGGAGGTCAAGTGTGATTACTATAAGCTCAAAAAATATGTAATTTGCAAAAAAAAAACACCAAAAAACTGTATTCCCATAAAAATCAAAACACCTGTATCCCTTGCCAAATTTTGAAATGTTTTAAATGTTACACTTCATTATTTGCTATTGTAGTTGACCAAAAATAATGAAGCTCAAAAGATGACAAATTTAGTTTTTATGATATGATGATAAATACACATTATTATTTTTCTCTTCTTCCATAATAAGAAATATTTTCAACTGCACAATTAAACAAATAATTTAAAATTATTCACAGGGCAAGCAGACAAGCTTCTATTTCTCAGTTTGTGTAACACTCCAACTGAAAAACCAAACAGAATACTTTATTTTTATTCCTTCTTCAGTTCTCAACATATTTGTGTAAATTATTAAGGAATTTTTATCATGAGGATAAATCAGTGTAAAAAATGTGATTTCCTATTTACTACAGCCATTCAATGAAGTCTGATTTATTGTATATTTAAGCTGGGAAACAGTATATATAATCAAAATGACAACAAACATGTCCCACTATATTAGCAAACATCTGCAAAGATGAAATGCAGACTACCATTCACCAATACAAAAGACTGAAAAAGAATATGTGAGTCAAAGGTTAACTAAAATAATATTTATTTTCTATTATAGTTTTTTTCCCTTCCCTCAAAGGGAAGTGTTCTCTATCAACTGTGTTATCACTGATTTAATCCAAGTATAATACCTGATTCCAATGACACTTGTTATACAGAAGAGAAAAAACACATAGCTCTGATTGTCAATAAATGTCAGTAAGAGATACTCTGGTCAACCCCTGGACTAAATGAAATGCAAATGATAGATGGTGTTTAGTTTAAAACAGTGAAATAAAAGCATTTATAATTCACTCCACTCCTATGAAATCCTTTCAACAATAACATAAATAATGAAAAATTGGCTAAAACAAAATGAAAACCACATCTGTAATCACAAGTACTTGATAACTATGACAAATAGCTTCCAAATATGGAGACATTAGCACTAATAAGAGAAAAGAAATTGACTGGCACATATTTGGATAGGATTTAGATTTCACTGAGTGTCATGGTCCTGAGACGTCCTCCAAAGACTGCCACGAATTGGAACATGCATGGGTAAGCAAAAGCAAAAAAAAGAAAAATCTGTCTTCATAGAATTCCAGTCATATGGTCCCAAATGGTAGAATATGAAGGTAAAAAATAAATTGCTGATAGATTACATTTGATAGCTGTGAAGTAGCCTGCTGGATAATATAGACTACTAGCATTATAGGGGGAAAGCAAGAGAAACAGACAATAATCACTACAGCACTAACAACAAAAATATGCACACAGTATAGCCCACCTTAATGTCAAAAATAGAGAAAAAATTTGGTCTCTGGGAAGAAATAGAACAGATTTGGGGAGATGGGCTTAAAACCTGAAATTTAAATAGCTATTGTGGGCTAATCTGATTCATTCAGTGAATAGCTATTAATAGCCTCATTCAGTGATTCATAAAAAGAAACCCACGTGGAAAATACACAAAGGGGGCAAAAACACAATGAAAAAGCAGAGAAAGATTATACCAGTGAAAAAAATCTTTTAGGAAAAAGTTTATATAAATTGTTCTCTGTAGTTTCAAATAAATTATAGACATAATCTCATTAACAGAGTGATATTCAAAAGAAGATATAATTTTCAATAGTGATTATAAAAACAGCAGAAATGAAAAAATGAAATGGCACAGACCAAGAAATAATGGAGAAGAATAAAACCATTATGAAACTGAAAATTGCATTACAGTTTACAAAATAGCATACAATTGAAAACTCTCTTGGGTTATGGTTGGCACAAGTTGACAACAAATTAAAAAATACAAAAGTTATTATAGAGAATATTATAAATAAGTTATAGATACAAGATATTTAACATAATTAGTATTAGTAAGAAAAAAATTATTTAGACACATAACAGGAAAAAGCTTTCTTGAAATTAAAGATTGAAATCTGAGATAAAAAGACAAGAGTCCGCAAAACGTCTTGCTTTGATTAAACACTATCTACATTTCAACAATTTCTTCAGTTTAGCACTTTTTTCTTAAATTGAGATAAAGTTAATTTTTATTATTTAGCAACAACATTTATATATGGAATATTTGGCTCCTAAATTTATAAAATTCTGTCTTTTAATCAATCAGTCTACTCTTCTATACAAACATATCTATATAAAAGTATCTGCCGTGATATTCATGAAATATTGACAAATTACTAGTGGTGTAATTTTTGAGATTGTTTTTAAATTTCTGCAATATCTATCTTTATTTTTAACAATCACGTATCATTTTTACAAATGACCATGACATTATTCAGATTAAAAAAAATTGGGGGTAGATTCCCCAAAACTCTGAAAACATTTACCTATAAAGATATATATGTACCCCTATGTTCATTGTAGCATTATTTGTCAACACGACATGGAAACAACCAAAACCAAGACATGGAAACAACCAAAGTGTCCTTCGGTAGACGATTGGATAAAGGAAGATGTAGTACATATACACAATGGAATATTACTCGGCCATAAGAAAAGATGAAATACTGCCATTTGTGACAACACAGATGGATTTTGAGATTATTGTGCTAAGCAGAATAAGTCACAGAAAAAGCTGAGAACTAAATGATTTCACTCGTATGTGGTATATAAAACTGAAAGCAACAAATAAACAAGAAAAACAAAAACTCATATATACAAACAACAGTTTGGTGGTTACCAGCAGGTAAGGGGTGGGAGGGTTAGGAGAAGGGGGTAAATATATGGTGATGAAAGGTGAACTGACTCTGGATGGTTAACACACAAGGCAATATATAGATGATGTATTATAGAATTGTATACTTGAAACCTATACAATTTTACTAACCAATGTCACCCCAATAAATTTAATAAAAATTTTTAAAAATGGAAGTCAAAGATTAATTGAGAGGGAAAACAGGAATAAGACATTTCAATTCTTGTACCACCTAAAGATTCATAGCCCTCCATTCCATAACTCATACAGCAATGAGGTGATTTCTTTACAACAGAAGCATAGCGTGTTCATCTTCATCTCATTATCCTGCAAGATTTTCAATAAATCACTACTTATTCAAGATCAAATCCAATCTCTTTAGTAATTTATATCGAATCCTCTCTAATCCAGTCCCAGCAAGTCCTTCCAACAACAACAGGTCTCAATTCCCATATTCACTCTTCCCTCCCACTACCCTGAGCTATTTGTAGTAAGAGTTCCCCTCAAAGTTCCAAATCTACATCTCTTTCATACTTCAGGTGGAGCTAAAAATATGTTTTGTTGTTTCTTTATGGAGTAGTTAGAGGGGTTAAAACTCCAAATTATTGTACAAAATTTAGTTCACTATCATCTCTGTGAAGCCTTCCTTGCCATCAGTCTTTCTTCCTCCCCATCAACAAAGATATAAAATTAAGTGCATCAGTGCCAAGCCAAGCAATATCAGAGCCTGAGGCAAAAGGAAATATTATTAATACCAATTCCATATTTATTTAAAATATGGGTATTTTGCTCATCATGGAATTTGCATGAATTTTGATTTTTTAAAAGTATTCTTTCAAAATATTATTTATCTTGATTGTTGAGGTTTTAGGTGCCCCCATATATTTTTGTGCTTGAGGTAAGTGCTCACTTGTATCACCTAGTCTTTGCTCTACTCTGTACTACTAACACACTTATTATACTCCATATTTGTTTGTCTACAAATCTATCATCAAGACCAGACTATGGCAATCTGTAGGAAAGGAACTGGGTTTATCTATGTACATCTAAAAATCAACACAGTACCCAACGTGAAGCAAAAGCCCATTTAGTAAAGATGAATTAAAACCCCCCAAAAAGAAATAGCCAAAATTCTTCAGTCTTTAAAGAATAAAATCTTCCACAGGGAAGAAAATATCTAATCTAAATGGAGAAACATTATTTCTTTTAAGGTAGGGAAACCGTGGTTTGAAGCAAGTCATGAGCTAAAAGTAATTAAGCAGTCAAACTAAAATTAGTTTTTTTCCCCAATAAATATCTATTTGTGGCACAAAGTATTCAGTGTATCTATGAGGTATGGTCAAAATATGTAGGGAATGTTTAAATAAAAAGTATATATATTACAGTAAAAGACACATACACTACCATTAACCCCCCCCCTCAAAATACTCCCCCTTACTTCAAACACACTCATCCCATCGTTCATGCCACTTTCTGAAGCAGTTCTGGAAGTCCTCTTTCTTGTCTTCACTTCATCTTCCATCACGACAATGCTTCGTGTCACACATTGCTTCTGGTATAGCAATTTCTGTCAAATAAAAACATTACATTGTGTCCTCATCCACCTTATTCACCTGATCTGGTACCATGTGACTTCTGGCTCTTCACCAAAGTCAAAATGACCATGAAAGGAAAATTTGAATCAATTCAGGACATCAAGGCAGCCATGACAGTGCAACTAAAGACATTCACGAAAGAAGACTTCCAGAACTGCTTCAGAAAGTAGCAAGTACTGATGGGGTAAGTGTGTTCAAAGAGACAGGGAGTATTTTGAGGAGGATTAATAGAATGTGTCTTTTAGTGTAATAAATATTTTTTTATTAAAACACTCACCATGTTTGTTGATTACACCTCGTATCCCAAGAATAAGCTTGTAATTAGTCGAAATGAGAATCAGAGAATGTTAAAATTGAAGGAAATTTTAGATATTACTTAATATAATATGCTTCTGTTATAAATAAGGAATCAAGCCTGAGAAGTTAAGTGACTTGTCTAAAACATTTCACAGTACAGTCAGAACTTGAATTCAGATCATCCATTTTTCCACCTGGCACTTTTCCATTAGAGGTTTTTCACAAATCTAGAAAAGGGGCCCAATGGAAAACAGGGGAGTGGAAAGTGTGAATTTTTTTTTTCCTAGGTCAGGCACAATTACCAATTCATGGGTAAAATAAACCATAAATTTGTTATGTATTGCATGAAACATGGTCACTGATAAGGTGAGGTAATTGAAAAATGACCTTTCAAAGTTCACTCTAGCCCTGCACTTTTATCTTAATCCCTAATTTCTCTAAGATTCATTTTCATCTGTAAAAGAAGGTGACTTCCTGCCTACTCTAATTGAAGGGTTTGGAGGTCCAATTTAAAATATACACCATTCAAATAACCAATATATACACAAATACAAGTCATTTTTAACTGTGGATTAATCATGTAAATATGTTATTATGCCTAGTCATGCCTGGAGGAAATTCGAATTAGGTAGCAGTTAGTGGCCAATGTGGAGTTGAAAGATAGACTATAGTTACTAGTAATGAATAAAACAATTCTGAATTTCACATTTAAAAGACAGAGACATACAAAGGTACTATTCTTAGAATTATTCTTCTTCACAAATTGCCAGGCCTTTGGGCTCTCCTAATGACACTTCTGAGATTTTTCTAATGATGAAAAGTGACTGGTTCTTCACAAAAGGGTCCTGTTTAATATAGCTCTAAGTTATTGGAAAGATAGAAATGATGGTCATAATAAAAAAGTTTGCCTTGAATTAATTTGATGGAACTCAAGGAAAATAAACTATGCATTATTATTAACATTGTATACAAATGAAATAATTCCTTTTTGTATTAATTATAAGACCTTCTGGTCAATTTATTCTTCAAATTAACAATTAAGAATCCTTGGTTAATTTTGCCCTTTCTCTTTATTTGGCCATCTGATTTATTTAAAATCTTCATATACCAAGGTAAGAAAAATAACTATGAGTTAATTTGGATCCTGGTCTACAAATCGAAAATCATTTATTTTTTATCTCTTTAATATCTGTGAAATTTATAGGAAAAAAATTTATTTTTTTAAAGGAATCCAATGAAATATTTCTTAAGCATAGACTGATAGATAAGCAAGGACTATATTCCTCCCCAAAGAAATAAGATCATTTTGTTGGGATAATGAACAATCATAGCTTTAACCACAATTTCAAGCATTGTCCTCAAGGCTAGAAATCTGTTCACATTCATGAAATAATGTTTGATAAGCTTTTATACAAGTACTCTTTATTAAATATATACATTTGTACCAGTTTCACTGGGACTCTTAACTTCCATCAATTCATAAGAAAGAGGCTTGGGTTGAATGATTTCTAAAGCATCTTTCAACCTTAAAACTGTTGATTATTCCAGTAAATACCTAGAGAGATAACCAACAAGGAATTTCTCTTATATGACTCACAATTAATATTTGGCATTGGCACATTTTACAGGTCTCATAAGTGACCATTGCAAGGCAAAGCAATAACTAAAAAACTAATGGCAATTAATTAATATTATTTCTTCTCTAAAAAATAAGAGCCTATTTTAAAGTGGTCATTTCTATCAAAATGTTCTTCAGAACTCATTCATTTACACAACCCAGCTCAGAAAGACAGAAGTATAGAAGAAAAATCTGGAAGCAACACAACAAAAAACTCGACCTGGATTTAGCAGTATAAGACAGCTGCAAGAAATTCAATTAAGTTGTTAAGCCTACCTAATGAAAAAGAAAAGTCAGTACATGAAAATCCTGAAAAATTGCATAACAGTCAGTAGCATCATACCCCTTGGCTATGATGTTTTTGTTTGGTTTTTTACTCCATTCCTTTGCTGCTTTTAATTTTAAAATACTCACCTTAGTTATGAAACTGTACAAAAACTCCCTCAAAATAAACACAAAACTGCTCAGAAATACAGAACCATGGACACAAAAACTTCCCAAAAGGTTAGCATTTCACCAGCTAACATAGATCTACACATATCTATGTTGGGAAAAGCAGCTAAAAGGCCTTGTATTGAGTTCTTAATTCTAATGATTCTGTGATTCTGATCAAAATCTGTTCTGTGATTCTGATCAAATTTGAGACAGGTAATCCATAAGATCTATAGTGCCCAGATTTCTAATTTCAGGTACGCAGTGCTTTTCGCTTACAGAAAAATCTGTACCACATTTTCATTATATTTTGAAGTCAATTGCTGTAGATGTATTAATGTGTACTTATCTCAAAAGTGGCTATGTGAACAACACGCCTGTTGTCCTCTACCAATAGAGGAGACACAAATATTTTGAATATGTTTTCAGACTCTAAATAATTTTCCTCCACTAAAGAATGCAATGGCTTCTGCTAGTTTATGGTTCATTAGCATGCATTGACTGTTCTACCATTTAAGTAATATTGTAGGTAAAGGTGAAGGAGCTTTCCTAGAGAGACAATGTCTAACATAGTGCCTGGGACAAGGTAGGCTCTGAATAAATATACGTTGAAAGAATACATAACTGAATGAACTACTATCAAAAAGAATTCATACAATGCATTAAACTTTGGCTCAAAGCACAAATTTTCAAGTCAACTGTTAAGTCCTGTTTGGACAACATATGACAGGGAACATATTTTCCCTGGCCTCTGTCTTTGTTTTTGATGCAGCAGAGGTTTCACTTTATTGGTCAATATTTGTTTTGTTCCATGTTCCTTGTAAAAATGTTTCAGTTAACAGGAAAAGTCCTTTTCTTGCAGATACTAGGTAAGAGGATCTCCAAAAGTCACCGCATGTGATATCCGATAAACAATTCTGATTAAGGGCAGTGCCACTGGGAAATTTAGGGTGGTTGGTTGATATTCATAGTGTGTATTTAAAATGGCAGTCTGTTTTCAAATTCCAATGCATAAATATGCACCAAGTATTTCTAATAGCACTATTTCTCTTATCCCAACTTTCCAAGATGGTCTGTATTCCATCTAATTTTAATGCTGAATTGATTCTATTTAAATCATTTTTCTGAAATGAAAATTGGCTCACATTCTCTTCACTGAGGAATTGATAACTCTCTCAATAACTGGCTGGAATTTTTTAAATGGAAAAAAATACATAGAATTTTTATTTTAGTAAAGAGCAACTGTTTATCTTTAAAAACATTTAAAAAGACCTTCTGCATTAAGTTCATCATGTTTTAGGAAACTATGATAGCAAAAAAAAAAATTACATTAGACTTTCTGATTTCTCCATAGTGTCCTTAGATAAATAAACAACCCAATAGACCATGTTAAATGCCCCAAATGTCACTGGAAAGAGAATGCGGGCATATTTGTCTATTTTACTTGTGCCAGATCCAGAAGGTGGTGCCGCAGAGGGAGGAGTGGTGGCTGACAACTTCCCAGAAGCCCCTATGGTATTAACTGTGGTCTTAATTCGCTCCAGTCTTGATCCAAACACACGGTGGGTAGTAGCAGATCCAACTGAAGCTGGTCGGGGTGCATACCCAGTTCTACTAGGAGTAGAAGCGGCAGATGGAAGTGCTCTTGCAGCAGATATAGTTTCAGCGGCATTTGCATGGCTGAACGGGTTTGGACTGGAAGCTAAGTAAGACTGCGGTGAGGCTTCCGAAGATCCTTGAACAGCCATGGAGGATCTGCTTGAATGGTTTCCTACCTCGGTTCTGATGCCAACATCAGGTTCAGAGTGCACCAAGGCATTTGTTCTTTTCCTCATGTTCAGGTTGGCATTTGTGTTCTGAAAAGGTATATTATATTAAGAATTATATTGCTATGTCATTTTATGTAGATTTATACAAAATTTAAATGGATCAAATAATTAAAATTAGCTGTTTCCATAAAATAAACCTTTATTAAGATGCTATAGCCATTCTACGTGATAGAAAAGCTTACCAAAAAGAACATGTATATATCTGAAACTCTGAATCAAACATTTATTTCAAAATATGATCCCTTCTTATAAATAATTAGAATTTAAATCTATAGAAAGAAGATTAGGCTTTTAGGACTATAAACTAGAGTTATACTTGACTTTATTTTAGGAGTTCATAATGATAGTTATACAACTTATTCATTCATTTTTATTGTAAATAATACTCTGATATGTTGTATACATTTCAATGAGTTTTGTATATATTTGCTTTATAAGATGTAAAGACTTGACCTATTCTCATGCATAAAATCCATATGTGCATGACATTGCTTAAAAAATAACTCCAAAAGCTTTCATTTCTAAATCCCTAGAATTGATTTTCATAATTTTATATAGACAATCATACACATTATTATAAATCTAGAAATCCTAATATGTCTTAGGTTTTTATTACAATTAATAATGAAAATACAAAGAAAAATTGATTTTAATAAAATGTTGTATTAGACATATAAACAGCATCACCATATCATTGCACAAATATCTGAGTTCAAATTATTTACCAATAAAAATGTTGAAATCAAAATGGAATTCAGTATTTTCCATCAAATTATATTATGTATAGAACAAGACTATATTTGAATGCAGATGCATGAAAATATTAAAATTTATTCTCCTCGCATTTTGACAGACATGATAAATAGCTGTGTAGCCAATTATAGATTTTCCATAATAATAAAGGACAGCAATTGCTCAAATGATTTTCCAATCATGTCTGTCTTCAGAATACAGTATGACGTTTTGAAACAATTTTTGCTCTTTAATTATGTTTATCCTAAGTCATATTAAGGGTATGTAGTTATTACTTCCTATGCCTTCTCCCCCTACCATTTTATGAAATAAATAATGGGTGAGGAGATGGAGAAGGAGAGGAGAGAGGGAAGGAAAAGAACAACTCAGAGCTGCGTGATTAGAAGAAGCCAGCCTGCAAGAAATTTCACAGATAGTATTATATACAATTAATTGAGAGCCCACTTTACAAAGAAATATTTATTGTACAAGTATAATCTTTTTTCAACACCACACTCATCTAGCCGGCTGAAAGTGTTCAATCCATGTCTTATACACTTGTGAATTATGACTTCAAGTTTTCTGAGTAGAGAAAAAGAAATAAGCCTCACAAAATGACAACCAAAACGGGATCTGAGAGGTTTTGAAAGTATTCTTTATGTCAGTCTGGAGTATTCTTCTAAGCAGGTTGCAGTTGAACTCATGAAAAACTATAGTCTACAAATGGCACCTAATTTGGGTAGGGACAATTGAAGCCAAATTTACAAAAATTGAAGCCAAATAACCTGAAAGCTATATTACCGTTATTTACCCTGCACTTTTCCTCTGCAAGGCACATTGTAAACATCATTTAATAAATCCTCAGATTTTGAGCTCTTTTTCACAGAAGGGAATAACTGGTAATTGATTAGCATTAATTCTAAAATCTTATACACATGGTAAAGAATATAAACAAGTATGAGGTATGTCCTCAACATTTAAAGAGCTTATGTTATCATTGGTAATATAATACGTACACCCATACACACGACAATAAAAAATATAATAAAAAAGTAAAATATAATGATGAGTCAAACTGTGGCAAAATGCTAACTATAGTAGGAAAAGAAGGGAAAAGAGTAAGAAAGGACGAACTGGACAAGCAGGAGAGAAATGTATATTTTCAAATATAATCTGATATTTGCATAGTGCCTTCTTCTACCAAAAGTTAGGTTGCCTATAATCTTTAGAAACCCATCTTTTTCCTAAGAATAAATTCTTAGAATTGGAGATTTCCATTTCTGGCCAAAATGGAGTAGGAAGGGCTGACTCTTCTGCATGAAGTGACAAAAACAAAACAAAACAAAACAAAAAAACCTGGACAAAACATGTGAAACAACTGTTTTTTTGAAGACACTACACATAAGAGAACATAGAGCCATAATCTCTGAAAGAGAAGAAACAAATTTTAATTTCCATGCTGTGGTGCAGGAAAGGAGAATCCAGGAAAAACCTGACAGGCTTCCTGAATTGAGGAGATGGACCTGAGAATCTTTGGAAACCAAGGTTGCTAGAGTTCACAGGAGAAAGTAACATAAAAGCAAGTATACGCTGAAAAAAGAGAAAACTCCAGATATCTGAGGAGTCCTCATTGAGTATTTTGCTCAGCACAGGTCAGTTTTTGAGTGTGAGCCACCACTACCCAAGGCTGCAGAAGAAGCCACCTGAAAACATGAGAAGTAGTACCTGACCTACACAAAGCCAGGAATAGTACACGGTCCCAGCAGCCAGACTGGAAAACTTCAGCATTCAGCACTTGGTAGAGTACTCAGAAGGCCTTGCCTCATTAATGTGGAATAATTAGCCCCAAACACTGATCTAATCTTGCCTAATGAATTTTCAAAGTAAGATGTGAAAGTATCAAACTAACTCTAATAGCTGCATTCCAGAAGAAATCACAAGAACATTTTTAGGGCCCCATGGTCTTTCCCTCTAGATCAGCCTCCTTCTGGAACTTCCTGAAATTCCAACTATGACTCATGTTCTATATGGTTGATTGGGCACAAAAATGGCACCAACTTATCCTCCCTCTCCATATATATGCCCCTTGTAATGTAAGTTTCCCACGCCTCCCTCATCAGGAGACGGAGTTTATTTCCCTACAGGCTTCCTGATGACTTTCTTTGGTGAGCAGTATGTGGTGGAAGTGATGGGTTGTCCTTTTCGAGTTTTAGCCTTAAGAGTCCTTGGTTGCTCCCACTCCCTCTCAAAATACTGGCACCAGCGTCACAAGAACAAATTTGGGCTATCCTGCTGGGGAGATTCTTTGGATCAGAACCAGTCATCCCAGTGAAGCTATCCTAGAATCCAACAGCTAGTTGACCACAAGACACACGTTTGTCTCAGCTCAGAGATGAGGAACTGCCCAGCCAAGTGTGATCAAGATCAACAGAACGTCCCAATTGACTCACAGACTTGAGGACAAAAGCAAATGTTTATTGTATGCCACCGAGGTTTTGTAGTTGTTTGCTAGGCAGCATTATTGTGGCACTGGATAACACATCTATATCAATGAAATCAAGGATCCTAAAAGGAGGTATTGCCAAGCCTCTTGGGAGGAAGAAGTTCCTCAGACATTCTGGGATAATTAGAAGGCTGGCCTGCCCAGAACTCATCAAAGACCAATAGGGGGCCCTGTTGCCTAACTCCACACATTACAGGGCAAAGATATTTTGCCTTTTATAATCCCATTCTTAAAGTAAAACAATATTTTAAAACTGGGCAAGAGTTAGCGATCATCTTATTCCAGTTCCTCATTTTACAACAGAGTAAAAATGAGCAGAAAGGCCGTACAGTGATTGGAAGTCATACAGTGAGTTACTTGCTGAATATCCTGCCTTGTATAGCCTCTTGATGCACAAATGTGGAGAAGGCATTAACAAACTTAATAAACTATGTTCATCCATTTGAATCAGTCAAGTATTTGTAATTGTCAAGCATATTGTTAAAAATTATTCAAGACTTGAAAATCAGAAATGATTACAGTGTGTCCTTTCAAAGTCATAATGGAGTGTTGTTTAACAAGTCCACCCAAGGATTATTAAGTCTCTAGGAGAATTTACTTGAGTTTGATTTTGCTTTTTAATACTGGCTTTGAGCCCAAACACTGTGAAGATACATGTTAACTTGTAGATTCCTGTCCAGTACAAAATACCACCAAAAGTTTTGATTTTGTTGCCCTTCTGTAATCACTTCTGTATCTAACTTAACAACCTTATTCTAGTATTCCTTTCTTAAAGTTACTTACAGATATTCCTCAAACAGATTTTGAACATGGTTAACCATTTAAGTGATTCCCTTACTAATTAATGAGTTGAAAAAAATGTTGACATGTATCCATTCCATATTTGTAAAACTAATGTTTTTGATGATTTGAAAATTATATTCTGAAAACATCTTCTATTATCCAAGTTATAAATATCAAAGAAATGTAAGCACAGACATAAGGAACATGCCTGGAAAAAAAAAAAAAGTGAATCCAAGACAAAGAGATAGGATCCATCTATGGTGATTGGAAACAAGAATCAATGAAGCTAGTGACTTTATGATAATAGAGAGAGCAGCATGAAGTGTGTCACTAGGGTTACCATCTGAAAACAAGGCCAAATCTTTTTATTCCCAACATTAAATTATTAGCGAACTTCTACAGTATAAAGACTATGATATTAACCAATGTAGGCTAATGAACACAGGAGGCGCCCACATCATTTTTAAATAAATTTTAATGAAATGGATATGGTTCAGAATCAAGATTCTTGTTCAAATTAAGGCAGTTAAAGAAAGAATGTAAAAAGCTTTCTAACTGACCTCCAGATTAGTACTTCTTTATGGAGTATATTTCTAGAATACTGCAGATAGTGCCTAAGGCATAGAAATTATCTTGACTCAATCCCAAGTGTGACTAAGAATGTCTAAGAAGTCTCTCAATAGTCTATATATCACAATTTACAAAAAGGAAAGCAGAATAAAACTTACCTGAGGCTTAAATCTTTGTTCTCTGCCAAGCAGCCAAATGAAACTCAAGTTATTTTGTACTGATATCTAAAGGTCTACTATGTGAAAAGTCGTCATTTACCATGATAACAAACCACAACAAGATTGAGAAATCTGCTGACCTACCTGGCACAGGATTCACTGAGAGTAATATTCACACAGCTTTCAAGATTTGGAACAACTAATGTGTCAGAGAGATGTTCTGCTTCATACAGTGTGTAGAGACTGAGTAGCTTCATCAGTATTCAGCAGACACACAGTGG